TACTGTTATGGTTTTTTTTGTTTTTTGTTTTTTTTTTTTTTTTTGTAGTTCTGTATTACGTGTACCCTTACACCGCTTTGGTTTGTTTTGTGTTTTTCTCTTTTTCCTCTTAAATAAAAAAAAAAAAGAAAATACAGTCTATGTATCATTTTAATTTTTCTCAATGATTTCTAACAATATGTGGAAACAGTATGCCAGTCTTATCTCGGGAAAGGAGAGGAAATCTACCCAGCTGATTTTACTCCCCTGAGGATTTCATGGCCCATCTGGTAGACACCACGATGGGGCCTCGTGGCCCCTCTTGGGATGGAGAACTGGCCCTGACCCCGCTGAGGAACCGCTCTTGCTTAGCCTCCCAGGCAGCACTAATGTTGGGAAAGGAGCTCATTCCTGCAGAATGAGAGCCAGGGCGCGTCCTCGGTCCATTGCAGTCTCTAGGAAAGTGAATGGTTTGAGTGTGCGGTAAGGTGGTGCCACGGAATTGTGATTCAGCCACACTACACAAAGAATACAGGCCAGGGAAGGAAGAGAGAACAACTGTTAAATGTTTAATTAAACAAAAAAGCACCTTATTAGAAGTTCTGTGGAACTCCTAGGAGTCTAATAAAATGTTACTCTAACAGAAGAGTTTTCTTTGAAGAGAAACAGTAATATTTGCTCTTCTACTTCCCTTTACCACCACAGAGGAACCGCAGCTTCCACACACTTCCCGAGGGAGCCACCTCTGCGTTCTGCTCCACAGGAGAAAGGCAAGTAGCTGTGTCCACTTCCCGGACTGCCCTAACAACGCACCACAGACCGGGTGACTTGAAACAGTGCATTTCCCAGCTTAGAGGCTGGAAGTCTGCAGTGCAGAGGTTAGCAGGGTTGGTTCCTTCTGCAGGTCCTGAGTGAGGATCTGTCTAGGTGTCTCTGCCACTGGTCGCTGGTGGTCCTTGGTATTCCAAGCTCATAGACGTGTCCTTCCCACTGCTGCACTGTCTCCACGGGGTTTCTTCCTGGCATGTGTCTTATCTCATTTTCCCTCTTCTGAGTTGAAGAGCAGTCACGGATCAGGGCCCATCCTAATCCTACAAGATATTATTAATCCTAACTTGTTATATCTGCAAAGACTCTATTTCTAAATAAAATCATATTCATGGGTTCCAGGGCTTATAAGTGCAACACGTCTTATAGGGGAATATAATTGAACCTACAGCAGCTGTCTTGGTTGAAAGGCTCTCTCATGAAGGAGAAGAACCATATTCATGAGTTGCTCCTCATTCCTGAGGTATGTCTTGAAAGAGTTTTGCAGAATTCTAAAGTTATGCAGAGAGAATTTTGAAAAGAGGAGGAGGACAATTCATGATAACCATATAGTATTGGGGAGTCCTCAAGGGATCCTCTTCAGTAGCTGTGGCTAGAATGAATAATAACTTATGACCAAAAAATGATGATTATAGACTCAAAGTTAATGAGGGAGTCTTGTTTAAAAAAAAAAAAAAACTTCTGATTTAATAGGTCTGGAATGAAGCATGGGATCTTCCATTCCCAGTGATCACGAACACACATGAAGAGATTTGCATAAGGAATTGGCTCATGGTTACGCAGGTGGGCAAGTCCCAAGGTCTGCATAACAAGTCTGTCCCTCGGGGATGTGGAGAGCAATGACGTGGTTCTATCCAAAGGCTGGCAGGCTGGAGACCCAGAGCAGCCAAGTCCCAGCTTGAAGCCAGTGGGACAGGAAGGGCGCTGTCTTCCTCAGGGGAAGGTCAGACTTTTGGTTGTGTTTAGGCCTCTGGAGGACACGCACCTTCATTAGGGAGATCAATCCACTGTACTAAGCCTATTAATTTAGAAGTGAATTTTGTGCAAAAGGTCTCTCCCAGAAATATTCAGAATATTATTTGACCAAATATTTGGGCACCTGTGATTCAGTAGTAGATATACAAAACTGATCATTGCATTTGTTTGTTGAGCATTTATTCTGTGCCATCTTAATGCTCTAACGCATCTAAGCTTTACAAGCAACCCTGTGGGCTACATGTGTTACCAGCACCTAGCTGATGCTACGCAGAGAGAGACTGAGTAAAATTCCCAATATCTCACAGGAGGTTATATGGATCCAGGATTCTAACCTAGCTATCTGGGTGCAGACTCCATACTCTCAGCCTCTGTGGGTTTGGAATCAACAGATTGTTCCTGTTGGTCAGTGTTTTCTTCAAAGAAGAGAGCAGCCAGCCACATGCAAACCTAGCAGATCTGGTCACAGGACTGTGACCTTTGGCAGATTCACTCCCTTGTGCTTCACTGATGTGCCTGCACAAGAGTGAATAGCTTCTTGGAGGAGTAGAGGAACTTCCATGATTTAAAACATACAGTAATGTTCAAATATTTAGCCAGTCAAATGAATTAGATCTATTCAGAGCATGTTGCTGAGATAGGATGACATGGCCTCTGTTTGTAGAGCTTAGCATAGTGGGTAGAAATAAGTTCTCAAGAAGAGCAAACATAGGTTTAGGCATGGCACATGTTTACCTGTCTTGTGTTAACATGATTCAGCGCCTCCAAACAGCTAACAGTTTGGTCATGACTAAATACCACTAATCACAGGGCCCTGGACAAATCCTTTAGACACCAGAGAAGGGGGTGAAACTGTGAGAGAGAGAATTTCATGATCTAATGAAGTTTTCCCATCTCCAATATCTGTGAAACATATTATTTAGTAATACTTCAGAATGCATGTGTAATTTGAATTAAATTAACACTATAACCAGAAGTGCCTATTTTGGGACCCATCTTCCACTGGGGTTGTCTTGGTACATTTATCCTTATGTGCCATTTGGTTAGTGAGAAAGGCCCGTCCTGGGCTCTGGGTCAGGCATAAGATGGAGCTTGTGTGACTGAGTGAAGGAGGGACATGTCATGGATCACAGCCACTCTGTGACTCTCCAACTCATGTCGTTATTGTGAGCACATTCATTCACACTAGATGCTCAGCAGCTACTTGTCAGATGAATGCACGCATAAACATGTTTTCTTACAGAAAAATCATGCAACCTTGATCTATAGAAGTTGGGAGAGCTGTAATGCTTGGATAAGGACCTCATCACTGTTTGGAAAGAATTATGTCAAGTTACTTGGTCACACTCAGCATAGACACTAGTTCTGAAATAAATTGTGTAAATCAGACACACATGTATATACTGCATTGTTTCTCTGGTGTGAGAAACAGAAAATGTAAATAAGGACCAAAATGTGGATATTGTGTAATAGGAAGAAAACGCTCAGATAAAAAGGGGAACAAAAGAGAGGGGAGAGGAAAAGCAAAGAAGGGAAAAAATGGGAAAAGAAAGTAAACATGGAAACAGCTTTTGTAAGTGGGGAAGGGAGGAGTGGTTGAAAGGACGGAAGGGGAATGGGAAATTTAAAAAATTGTATCATGTACAGGTACAAATTCTCTATGATGAATGTAATCATTATACAAATCTAAAATAAACCAATAAAATCAGATTTAAAAAATTGAATTGTATCCTGCACGAGGCAAAACCAACCTACTTTGGGCTTTCACCGCCTGTGCCGGGGCAGAGTTCTAGACATACATGACATAATCCCAAGAATCACTCATCGTGCGAAATGTTATCAACAAGCACTTTTAGAGGCAGAAGAGGCTGATAACAATCACAGACTAGGGTCCTGGATTTCTGAAGAAACACGGGGTTTAAGGGGACGGAGGAGTCAGGGTAGCATGGAGATCTGGCTACCCAGGAGACCATCATGTTTATTACCCAGGGCACAGAGGTCCATTAAAGGGCTCAGAAACTGGCAAACCCTGGGCCACAGGGCTTCACACTGCTTCATGAGAATGAGAAAAATTCCTCAGGCTGAGGCAGTTTCATGTGTTTGTCATTGTAGGAATAATCTCCCAGAGAGATTGAACTATGAATAGAATCCCTATAAATATATCTGAAGCCTGAAAGGCTTTATTTCCATAAATAAAAGGACAACAACCAAATCAAACTTATGAAATACTTAAATTTATTCAAAATATATAATTTTTTCTACCATTTATTAAATATCTTATCAATTAAATGTAAAAAATTGTAGGTTAGATTTTTTTCATCTTTTCCAAATTGTCAAAATGAATGGGGACTATAGAGGATTTATCATTATGCAAAATTAAATGTACTATGCATACCATATAAATTCTAAAACAAAATTATGAAGAACTTTCAAAATTTTTACCTTGAAATATTATATTAATGGTCTTTAATGAAGGACATAGACTTTTAAAATACATTTAATAAAAGATACATGGTACTAGCCCTGAATCAAGGCCGGCAGCTTCCTGATGATGTTGGTTTCAAGCAGGAGCCTAAATAGATGTCTTTATATGGTCTGTTGGCCATTTCAGAACTTGGCAATGAAATGGTCAATTCATTAGAAAGAAACAGCTTAAAGCAACCCCCGCCCCCTCCCTGAGCGGCTGTGAACCTGGCAGGCTCCAGTGGCCCAGCATTTACTGGGACCCTCGCCATGCTGGGACCTGGAGCACTAGGAAACCAAGCAACCCCCCCCCCACACACACACACCTATTTTGTTGAATTTCAATATACATGAAAGTATGGACAGCTATTTTGAAGACATTGAGAGACACTACAACAGCCATTAGTGACTTCGCTATTGTCTGGTTTTGAAGACCTAAAACGCCTTCTTCATTCTGTTTGGATCAGTTTTATACTATGTTGTTTTGTATGAATTCTCTGTATGCAAACATATGGACAACTATTTGGAAGAAAACGAGACAATATGATAGTGAAGATCTGAGTCGTTTACCTTTGAAATTTATATCTCTTACATTGCTTTCTAATGTCCTATTTTATTTTGTTGTGTTTAATTTTACCCCCTTTAAAAAAAAATTTAAAAAGATGCACGGTAAATTTTCCCCCACCTACACCAGGGTTTGAATTAGTGAGGGTGAGCTGTTAAATGACAGAAAATGTCCTTGTAAACAGCACGGAAGACATGCAAAAGAAAGCACCAACTACTTGATGTGACCTGGAAATGGAGACCAGACAATGTGAATCCCAGCAAAGCTGTCCACAGGAAGCCATCCCAGTGTGCTCCCACCAACACAGAACTCACCATAACAAGTCATTGTCCAGCACAGGCCCCTGGAACTGGGCTGCATGGTTAGGTATTTATTAATTAATTAGTTTACTTATTTATTTTTAAGAATTTCAGTTGTCAGGTTTCTATAAGCTAGAACAGGATAAAACTTTCTTGGTAGCAAGTTTGATTTGTGATTCTCATGAGTGTCAAGATAGAAGTTATTTTCTTCTGTGACCATGAATGAGTCTCAGGGCCTGGAAAAAGATTTGTATGTGGGGATCAAGGCAGTCACACAGCAGCTAAGCACGGGGACTGTGCTAAGTACGTATTGTGCGAATGGAAAGAGCTAAGATGTCCCAGTTTCCCTCTTCTCACCTGAATACCAGTTCAAATGTTAACTCCTCGGCCACAATGCTTACTGGCTGAGAAAAGGTAGGCATGGAACACTAACATGTGGGTGGGCTAAGAGCCACTGAAAAGAGGCACAGGGGACTAAGAAAGTAGAATAAGAGAAAATCAGAAGTGGCACAGGCCTGCCCAGGCTAGGATTTCCCTGGCGGGCATGGGTGGAGAAGGAGACCAGTGCTTGGCACAGGCCATTGCTGTGCCACATGTGTGATGACAATGTCATCCAGGGTCAGTTGCTGTAAGTCAGTTCTGCGTGGACAGTAGCTTCCCTATGGAATCTGTGACAATGAGAAAGCTCCTTTGAAATAGGTTTGAGGGGCCTGCTTTGCTGTGCTTTCTCTCATGAGCGAGGTAGCATTTAAAAGTTTTCCCTTTTGCTTCTGAGATGCCATGAATACCATACTTGCAAATGATGTTTGTCAATGTACTGCACTGTCCCATGGAGAAATGTTTCTTTTTTAATATTTAACATGCAACATAGGCTCTTGGAGTCATGGCACCCATAATATATGTAACTTGAGAGTTATAAATAAGTTCTATTCAGCATTAATTGGTATCATCATCAAAAATACTGGGCATGGCATGCAACTTGTGCAAGAGCAGGCCCTGGCTGTGAAACTCCGTCTCTGCTGGAGCTCTTCAGGGCACATGTCTTCACAAAGAGAAGATCATTAAGTTGGGCAGGCAATGATCAGTGCAGATGGCTTTGGTTTTATTTTGATTTCCTACCTAAGCAGTCGTTAGTGCAGGGCCATACAAGGAAAAATGTACAAAATCACTACATCTGGTCTTGAAAGCCAGCTGGCTCACGGGGAATCTCTTTGCACTTTTATTTTAGAGCTATCTCCGCGTCCTTTGGCCTTCCCCTGGAGGAGACAGAGGATAAGTGATAGTGCAGTCATTCACATGGAGCTGAGAGCAATTCTGAAGGCTCTCTGAGTCTCGGAGAGCGGCGTAATTGTCTACTTACTATTTGAAGATGACCTCACCAACAGCGCTGAAGACCTGCAGCTGCGAGGGGTCTGTGGCAAGGTCCTGTCTGCTGGCCTGGTGTGTCAATGTACTGTTCTCGGGCTGCCTGTCACAGTATACCAGGTCCCTTTCTTGGCAGGTGTTCTGCAGTCATTACACAGGGGCTGAGTCAGCACAGCTGTTATGTGTACTGAAGATCTGTGAGCCTCGGGTAGCTGCTGTCCCTCTGCAAAGCTGGGTGCAGTTGAAGATTCGCAATGGATCTTTAAAATGGATTCAGTGCTGCTATATGCAGCATCTCTCTTGGTGTTTGAATCATTCAGCATATAACCCCAGCATTAGACTTTTTAAAATGAAATTCTTCTTGGTCACCTTAAAGCTCCATCAATCATTTAGTAATGGAAAAAAAGACAGCGTAATGATCTGCTTTGAAAATAAACTCTATAACTGACTTTGGCATCGAGAGCCTATTATCATGCGGTAACATCATTCTATTCCAATGACATTATCTGCTAAGGATATTATGACGGTGGAAAATATTTCAGCTTTGCTATTGGAACAATGAAGCTGTGATATTTAATTATAGAGAAGTATGTCTAATTTGGGGAATCTGGTATGTCAATGGTCACAGTTTACTCCTTCCTCAGAGCGCTCAGCACTGGTAATCAAATGTGAACACAGTATGATTTAGTGATCCACACAAGTTATTGGCTCAGTACTTTTTCTTACTTTCTCAAATCCTTTCTTTTGCATTTTAATTCTTCCATTAAGTTTGCTGATTAACTACTAATTAATTATGAACTCACCCAGTACACTGCAGGACTAGGTAACAGAGGAGGGCCAGGAGGTGGAGAATAGCATATCTGGCCAGTTTTTACTTTGGCAACTGAGATCCATCTGAATGAAACAGCAGGAAAAGTGCTTCCAAGGTAACATGCTAGCAAATAAAGGGAACTTCTCTCTGTTTCTGCCTCTGTCTTTTCCTCTCGTCTCTTTCCCCTGCCCTTTCCTCATATAGACACGCAAGTGCATGTGGGTATGCACTCATACTGTGCTAAAGAAATTGAAAAGAAAACAGCCATATGGATTACACTGATGAGACTCATGTGATGATTGAGTGGCACAGTAAGGGCCATTGGGATAAGATTGGGTGGTAGACAGGGACTTCCTCTTCTATACTCACTCTCCTCTTCACTGTTGATGGACTTAGTTTCTTAAATGGCCTTCAGTTATGGCCCTTAGTTAGCCAAGAAATTGCTGGGCACCTTTTCAGACATGAAAGCCTGACTTAGGCAGGGCTTTAGAGAGATGCAGCATGCATTTCCCTCTGAAGCTGTCCATCTTATGGGAGGTGGACTCACCACAGGATTATGCATGAGGCCTGCATGTGGTCAGGAATGGGAGAAGCTGCTGGGTAGTGTTTTAGAGAGGTCCAGATACCTAGGGGATCATCTGCCATTCCTGAACTGGAGGGAGCAGACAGCAAAGCCCACCTTTGTTTGGTGATGAAGCTCTGAGCACCTGGTCATGGCAGTGTCCCTGGTCATGGAGCCACTTGGTGGCCAGTGCCTCTGGATGGGTGTTCTTCGCATTGCATTGATTTCCTTCCCAACTTCTATTTCCAGCCTGGAATCAAGGGATTGGAATTGCGCTGCAGGAGCTGCAATGGAGACATTATCTACTTCACAGTTTCCCTCAGGCGCAGCCTGATGTGAACTGCCATACTTCTTTTCATCTACTTGAGGTCAAAGGGCAGATTCCAGGGGAACCTGGCTAATGGCAGTCTGTCTCTACAGCTGGACAGAAGGCGCGTGGGTCCTGTTTTGGCTGCTGATACCTTTTGAGTCACTCACTTGGTGTGTCCTCAGATTTATGAAAGAGCCATGGGCACCTCAAGGCACACCGTCATATATACAGAGGGTTGGGGAGAATGGAGCGGGTGTATGAGGGCTACCACCACGTTCATGTGGGAGCTGGGTCCGCAAACTCGGTGTAAGAAACAATGTGCCTTTTGTCTCGGACTGGAGGCTGTAATCAGATCAAAGGCTGGTGACAACAAACCGTGGAGAAAAGTAGTTCAGCCTTCCAGTGAGCTGATGTGGAGCTCTGTGGGGAGTTGGTGGAAATGCACCCTTCCTGACTTGTTTGTGTTACTTACTATTTTTAATCGATAAATAAAAATTATGGGTTTTTGTGGTGTATGGCATATTTTGATACTGTTGTATTTTGAGATCCTTAAATCAGACTAATACATGCACAATTCACACACTTATCATTTGTACATGTGTGATAATATTTAAAATCTAAAGTCTACTCTCTTAGCAATAATCATTCTGGCTCATTCTTCAGCCCAAAACCTTTCATCGGTACTTCATATACATAACAAGATGAAGCATCTCAATTCATAGATTAGGCAGAATGTATATCTGAAAGAAGAACAGGTCTTCTTTCTTTCTTGGTACCAGGAATCAAACTCATGACCTTGCACTTACCAGGCAGGCACTTAAGCCACTGAACTAAATCTCCAGCCCTAGTAGAACAGGTCTTAAATAATGACAGATTGTGATTATAGGTCAGACCTTGAAGACCTCGCAAAGTTTACTTAGAGCTCTTGAACTTGAGTTTTTTCAGGTTCTCATACTTGCTTATCGTATTTGTTCATGTTAAAGTCTGGCATAAAACTATTTACTTTATAGGCATCCAATAAAAACCCAACTTTCTTCCCTAATTCATGTAAGAATAAAGCAAAACGTAAAACCCCACAGGAACATGAATTTGGAAGCGTTTTAATTTTTTTCTTTTTCTTCAGTATCTGACAAAGTCCTCTTCTTTTATTATTTAAAGGGCAAAAAAGCACAAAAAAGTCAAAGGGCAAACAAACAAACAACCAATCAACAATAACAATAACAATAGCGAAACAATAGTGATACAGAATTTCAAAGCTAGATGATAGGAATTTAACCATGGTTGCTATATTTTATAGTGTAATATTCAAAATACTTGCTCAGGTTACCAAGTACAGCTGTGTAAAATTGATCAAACGATATAATTTCTCTTTGCGCATTTTCTTCCCTTTTAAGTGTATTTTAAGTGTATTTACTGTAAATTTGTGTTATATTTAGTTTCAGTTTCTTACATCAGTGTCTGCACATGTGACTGTGATTTATTTCTCTTATGAGCGTGGTCTCCAGTTGGAGTCATTTATCCAGAAAAGCTACTAGTTTTCCCTTCTTTATAGCTGAGTAGTACTCTATTTTATAAAAATACCACATCTTTTTTTATCCATTCTTCAGCTGATAGTCATTTGGGTGGTTTCCAGTATCTGGCTATTACAAACTGTGTGGCTATAAATATGGGTGTGACAGAGCCCTCTGATAGCTGGCATCCATGTGAGCTCACCTCAGCTGTAAAGCACAATTCTAAGGTGGAGAAAAGCTGTCCACAGAGCTTCCTGGAAGGAGGTCCTGTGTGAAAAGGAGGGAAAATGAATCAAGGGAGACACAATGGAGAGAGAGAGAGCAAAAAATCCAGACACAGGTCGCCTCTCGTTGTGACATTACTCAGTGCTCTACTCCATCATGGAATGTCAAAAATTTGGGAAGCTTTTGAAAATGAAAAATACCAGAAAAAACACCACACAAGATGAGCCAGCTGGAAGTCCATGGTGTCCCAGGACTCACGGCTTACCAGAAGGAGCCCAGTGGACTGGGGACTGTGGTGCCATCAGGTCTCGGCCAAAATCCAGCCAGGTTGCCATCAGTGAAGCTGCAGGCTCAGCTTCATTGTTTGTGCAAGATGTCAGTGAGAGTGGCCTTTGGGGTTCTTAGGGTCAAATTTACATCTAGCACTTTGTAAGCAAAAGGAGAGGATTTCAGCTGTACAGGGCGCAGGTGAAACAGGGCCCAGGCTGAGACAAGGAACTGAGTGTATCTCCCACGGCAAAGGCAGCTCCCTCACCCCGATTCAGTTCTACCAAACTCAGGACATCAAGCAAACCGCGGGGAGCAGGTTGTATTCAGATTGTGCTAGTTGCTGTTAATTTTGTATTTTGTTAGCTATTTTTGTCAGTTTTACTGTTATTTTTAATTTAACCAATCACTCGCTAATTTTTAAAAAAATTGTGATTTAGTCAGTAATCAAGAAGGAGGAGGTGCTAAATGTGCTGGTCCACTCCTGAAGTCCCAAAGAGGCTGAGACAAGAGAATTGTAATGAGACCCTCTCTCAAAATAAAGAACAAAAGAGCTAGGAATGTAGCTCCCTTGTCAAGGCCCTGGGTTAAATCCCCTGAAGTTAAAAAAAAAAAAAAAAGGAGGCTGTGTGGTTAGGAAAGATAGTTGGTGAATATGTGGGTGTGTTGGCTGTGAATTCACAGATTAGAGCTCAGCCTCAGCTGTTTAGGATGAACTGATCCCTCTCCCTTCAAAGGTACATGTGACCACGTGGGTGCTGGAGCCAGCTCTCCTCCCATGGGAAGGCAGATTGCCGCTAGAAATAAGTTGCACGTCTGCTGTTTGGTGCAAACTCCCTTGGTTAGATGATGCTTTGAATTTGGGCATTTTTTCCTCTCCACTGCTACTTTTTTACGTGCACAAATCCCTCCCTGTGTTCCTCAAACTGTCCAGTCGGGCAGCGCTGTGAGAGATGTACCGTACAGTGCTTGTGGAGACTGCTAAGCCTCGCCTGGCACCCCAGCACCTGATGAGGACAACCCAACATCCATTGACATCACCTAGTGCCGTCAAGGAAGAGGCTGAATCCAGCCTTTGTAATTGGTTCGTTGTCCAGCGCTGGGATTGGCCGCGTGGGTGTTACCCCGCCCAGGGGCGGAGCCAGCAAACAGCATAAAGCAGGGAGGAGGCGCCCTCAGTTCCCGGTTTTCTTGCCCTTTTCACGCTGGTCTCCTGTGTCCGTCATGGGCTGCTCCTCAGCCACACCACCGCGCCTTGAAGCCAGCCGAGTAAAGAGAGACCTCCAAAACTGTGAACTAAATAAACCTTCCCTTGCTTCACTTTGGGCGTTAGGTATTTTGTCTCAACAAGGAGAGAAAAGTAACCAAGGTGGGGAGTGTGGGTGTTTTTTTGTCTACCTCCTCAGAAATTGTTTTGTTCTTTGTTTTAGTTCATTGTACACTATTAACTTATTATTATGTGCATCCCTGTAATAACCCAAACTCTAATCTTAATCTGTTTTTCTCAGAGACATGTTTGTCTTCCCACTTAGTGTTTTCATTTTAAAACCAAATCTGTAGGTACTTACATATTGTTATCTTCATTGAGACTTTGTGTGTTATTCTAGTAAAGAAATTGTATATATGAGAAGCTATATCCATGTATATTTTTACCAATCCACATGGATGACCAAAGGGAATTTTTTGAGAAAAAAAAAAAACAAAAACAAAAAGCAAACCAAAACCCAGCTCTACTCTTTGAACGATCATGGTATAGTTAAAAAGATGTCCAGCTTTACAATCTTTGTAATGACAAAATTAACTTTGAAGTCAGAATTGAGCGAGTTAACTCAAAATCTTTATTTCCCAAGAGATAAAACATTCAGTTTGACGTATTTAAATGAGCAGTAGGTAAGTGTCCCAGTCCCTTGGCATGAAAACAAAATCATACCGACCTCATATGTTATCTTATAATTTATGGGTTTGGTTTGGCAATTGTGTTTCCCAAGAATAACAGTCTGGCTTCTCCGTGTGTCTTTTTTTTTCTCCTTTGGCAGTTCTTATTCTGGCAAATTTGTTGGAAGTTCTTCTGTAATTCTTGGAGTGCACCTTCAGTAATGCGTTCAGATGACTAAGAGACACATCTCAACTAGACAGCTTGGCATGTATTTGGTGAGATAATTCAGCCTGGCTAAGAGTAACTGGCAAACCATTGTCTTTTACCATAAAATAAAGAAAGTGAATAAGAATTATTTTTCCTTTATATTCCTCAGTAGGACATTCCCCAGCAACTTCC